AGCCTGACAGAGCTGCAAGACTGAAAACTACCGAATATTCTACGCACATGGTAAAAATTATAATTAACGAAATTTACGAGTAGTCCTCAACAATAATTTTTCTCAGCTACGTGAAAAAAAGAACCTACCTTGATTTTCGTTCCAAGTGTAAGTGATGCTGTGTAAGCCTGACGGTAGTTAGACGACATTCACGATCATCTGTCTATTTCAGGGCGGAACCAGGAAGATGGAAGCTGTCGGGCAGTCGGCCCACCGTCAGACCGAAGGACGGTCGCCTTTGTACAGTTCTCTTACATATTAGGGCGACGTCCCAGAAACAAAGATCTGTTCACCACCCTGTTGTACTCTTTGTGTTTAGTATATGTTAACTATTATCATGTTATGTTCGGGTCTTTCATTCGCATGCCGGATTGTCAAGACGAGTTAATATCTATTTGTTGCCGGTCGTATTCGTGTCTTATGAAGTCTATTTGTTATGACTATTATCTTCCTAATAAAAGTTAGTCAACTATTAGTCTGAGATGCACATGCACGAGCCGCTGCGCACGCCAGCTTACTGGTAGCAGCGAGTGGTTTCGCACCGGGTGTAGGTTGGTAAGCAGTCTTCAAGTAGTTTTTGAATCTTCGTGCAGCTGTGTTGGCGTGGAAGGGCCCGTCCGCGCTCGACTGGCAGCTGCACGGAGTCATCATCAAAGAGACTAAGTTTGGTCGACTCCAAGAAGCGCTAAAATATTCATGATTCAGCAATCTGCTTTCAATAAAATTTTGGTTTAACAGATGTCGATAGTTTTAGAGAGCTCATGGAACCATGGCCATGGCCAGCTGCTAGTTGCAGATGACAGTCGTTTGATTTCTTTTTAGGATAGTCAGGCTATGGTACCCGTGGGAGGGGGAACAAACGTCACGTGAGAAGAGGAGATAAGCTCGGGAAGAGTGATGGAGCTTCGAGACGTATGTAGGAGTTCCCAGCCCGGTGAGTATGTGACCACACCTGCATCGAATGGTACAGTAGTGGAGTGTGTTGGGAGGCAGACTTTGGGGCACCAAGTACTCGAAGAGGAAGCATTATTTTTGGAAACTGAGTTCGATGTCGGCTTGTTAACTACCCCAAGGATATATGTATGTATGGATCGTGCGCACGTGTGTATAAATATGAGAGTTCAAAACAAAAAAAAGGAAAAAAACAAAAAAAAACTTCACAACACGGCCTAGAATTTCGTTTTTTTTGATAAAACTCTTTAGGGGGTGTATCAACAACGCGAACTAAAGGCTTGGAGGCCCTGCTGGGCCGTAACCGAAGTTAGTTTGAAGGTTCTACTTGATGCACCATTAGCACCTAGGTGGTTCGCTAGGATTCTAATTGTTGAAATATCGACACACATTTATCGTTCTCGAGTTGTTCTCTTTCTCTTTACTAGGTATGACCAAAGCCTTTCATCGTTTGAAGAGCTTTATGACGGATGTAGCGAAACTTTGGCCACATATGGCGAAGGTGTCGAAGATCACCCGTCAATACTTGACAGCTCGAGATAATCGCCAGAACAAGGGCCTGCTGAGTCTGGTTGCCCCGCCCCCTGATAAACCACTCCAGCGATATGCGAGTATTGCATTTTCTTACTTAGCACATTAGTGAGATATGTATACCACTGAAGCGGTGGTTCCTGCTCGTCCTTCTATTACCTGACCCAGTCTTTGCTAGGAGTGCTCATCCATTTACGTTTCAATTTTCTTTTGATGCCTATCGTTTCTTTTGCATATCTGTCAAGATTTTCGCTATTAGTTGTTACGATTGTTGTTCTTGTAGTATTCCTATTAATTTCGTACTCTACTCCGATCTGCCTATACTCCTCTAACTTCATATGATGCCCTTTCTACAGGGGAGCGGCGATCTAAATCCATATGATACGATTTTTGAAAATTATTTGCTGGTGCTAGTTTTTGTTTTAGGCATATTCTCTTTAAATTTATCCTTTTGCTTACTCACTTTGTTGAGCATTTTGGTACGAAGTTTGTTCGAGGTGCGAAGGTGAGTCATGGCCGGGGTTACGGCAGCAGGCGCTGATTGGTCGGCCTCGCCCCCCGCGAATCCTATATGAGACCATCCCATGTGTCAGAACCTCATGCCTCGTATCAATTACTTGGTTTTGAAGTCTAACTTTCTATTTGCTCTCAATCATGGGACCACCCCCAACTCGTGCTCGGGCTAGCCCTATAGATTCTAGGGCTGATGCCCTTACACCAAGCCCAGGCTCAGACGCTCCGTCGTCGCATAATCTCGCTGATGCTTTGTCGTACCTAGACGACCGGGATAATGTCCAGGGTAGGGACGTAAAGGTTCTACTAGACGCTACGGTAGTAGCAATCTTCGAGGCCAAGGAGGAGGCCAGAGTTGACACCACCCGCCTCACTCCATATCACTCTCCTTCGTGATCTGAACCAATCGTTTGCCACCGTTAGTCAGCGTATTGATAACCTATGGTAGCAACGGTGATCCCCGATGGACTACTACCGAGAACTGTGCCCTTCACAGGTTCGCGGGAAGATCCTATTCAGTTCTCCTTATGGCTCCGCCGTTTGAAGGACGTCATGCGTATGAGGTCCACCACATGGACGACCCAACCGAAAGCCTATTTCCTCACAGGCTATCTGGATGGAGTGGCTAGGGAGAAGTTGGAGGAACTAACCGATGAGCGGGACGATCATGTGGTCGTCGTGGAACACCTCAAGAGGACTTTTGAAGGCCCTCCTAGGTACACGGCGCGTCAGGCGCTCGCCTCGTGTCAGCAGCAAATTTCTGAATCTGCTTCCACGTTCGCGAACTGCTACTTTTGGTGCGGGCCGCTATGGCTGGTCAAGACCCACCCAGCCAAAAGGATAAGGTGTTAGAAGGGTTTGTATCAAGACTCCGCCCCGACCTCCGCTATTACGTCAAGCCCGACAACCCAACTACGTTCGAGCAAGCGGTAGCGAGAGCGCAGATGGTGAAGCAGCTACTCAGGGAAGCTCATCGGGTCGGCTCATGAGACCTTCTCTAGGGCCCCGCACTGTCGAGGTGAAGGCAACTGCCTTTCCTGGGAGGAGGGTCGGAGGGACCCACCGGATACAGCTTTTCTACCAAGGCTCAACTCGACTATTTCAGCAGACAGGAAAGAACCCGATCCGGTCAAGATCCCCGGTAAAATGCTTTGATTGCGGCGAAGTAGGTCATCTTTCTCGTCAATGCCCATCCCCTCGTAACTCACAGGGTGACACAGGTAAGCCTACCGCTCGTAGTTCTCCCCGTGGTCATGGTTTTTCGCGTTTGCCTCGCAATTATGCCTCACCTTCACGTTACGATCGGGATCGCGAGCTACCGCAAGCCCGTGAACAGGTCAATGCTCTATCTATTTCTCTACAAGAAAATAAGTCAGCCTTAGAAAAAACGGACGCCAGAGTTACAGCCTTAGTTCGACGTAATGAAGAGCTGGCTAGATCCACTTATGGTCATGTTCCTTCTTCATCATTTTCACTTCCTATGCCTCAGGTTAATCTTTTGCTTCCTTTGTCGATACTTTTGTGTGCAAGTTTTAGTGAGGCACTTACCACTCCAGCGTGGCTCTGCCCGCACAGTCCGACAGATGCACTAGCTCGTATTCCTACTCATTACAATTGCTCTCAAGTAATTCTTCCTAGTGATGGGCCACCTCGCCCTTTTCTCCCCATATTTACCGTCCTAATACGCAACGGTGCGATACGCTAGCTTTTCTTTGCAAAATTGTTATTCAATCTGTATCATATTCAGTTAATTTCTTTGGAGCTCGTTACGAGAACCATTCTGAGACTCACGCTCTTGTAACACTGGAAGCTTGCAAATTAATGGTCCAACATCATAGGTGTGAATTTGGTGACATGAAACAATCGGGCGATTTCTGGTCTTCTTCCAACACCATAACTATTGACTGGCCCTCAGCTCCCTTTGGGTGTTGCGAGGAGCATACCATTTCCGTCTCGAACTGTGTGCTCGTCTAAACCGTAATTCATATGCGCCACGGAGCTTCATCTCCTGATTCACCCGTGGGCAACCTAGATAAAAGCCCTTATGAAACTGGTTACTGCATTCTCCGCGACGGTTCCATCCTATTATGGACTCCGAACAATATGAAGGCGTGTCGATTCACTCCGGTGATGAGAATGAAGGGACGCCAACTTGGGGAAATCTGGATCAGAGACTCCAAAGAGTTTGCGCTATCCTGGAGGGAGTCGAGTGAGCAGCTCCAGGATTGCGGGGTTAGCCTCACAGTTACAGATCAGGGTTATGCCATAGCGCCTATCACTTTAACAACCCGTTTTGTCCCCTCGGCCGCTGTGGGATTGGTAACATTGAGTCAGCTATCGGCGCAACTCTTGGCAGTCGAAGGTACGGTCCTCTCGGCCGTGTCCTCGCTCTTTCATCACGCTTTGTCTTCCCTAAAGACAGAACAAACCTCCTTGCTTTCGCCTTCCACACCTCGCTAGCTGCTAACCCTACG